GGTTCCTACAATTTCTTTTTTTTTTTTTTTTAGAGAGATTTTTTTCTATAGGGCACGTACGTTCATCAGAGAGAGAGAGAGAGAGACAGAGACAGAGAGACAGAAAGTGAGAAATCACCCTCTAGGGAGGATGGCCACGCTACAATCTCCTCTCCTCCTCCATTTTCCTCCTGAGATCTTGGGCACACATGTACTCACACCTGGTGTGAGTTTTAAGCCACTGGGTTTAGGACTTGAACTGTGGCCGAACATGTGGGAGTCCAGCGATGTAATCATGCCATCTGCTGGTCCCTTGAAATGGCTATAATACATTTTTGTCTCTAAGTTTTCTTTAGATAGATTCTTAAATGTGTAATTCCAAATCAGAAACAGCATTCTTTTAGGACTCCTAAAGTATTGCTTAATGATATTCCCCAATAGTTGAACAAATTTGGATCATCACAACTGGTATATTAGAATACCCACCTAAGTAAACTTTAAAAAAATTAAAGAAAAAAGATTTATTATTATTATTTAATTTTCTTTAGGGCATATGTGCTTACCAGAGAAAGACAGAGGAAGAGAGAAGGAAAGTAAGAAAGCAAGCTACCAGATCTAGGACTCAAACTATGGTTGGTCATGTAGTAGTCCAGTGCCTCAACCACCACTCCACCTGCTGGGCCCAATGAACTCTTTTTTTTTTTTTTTTACATTTTTGCTACAGGGCACGAGAGCTCATGGGAGAGACAGAAAGTGAGAAACCATCCCTAGGGGGATGGCCATGCCACAATCCCTTCACCTTCACCTCCATTCTCCTCTTAGGATTTTGGGCATGCACACATGTGCGCCCAGAATGAGTCTTTTTTTCTTTTTTTTTTATTTTTTTTTTTTTTTTTTTTTTTTTGAGAGGTTTTTGCTATAGGGTACATGAGCTCTCCAGAAAGACAGAGACAGGCAGAGAGATAGAAAGCAAGAAATCACCCTCCAGGGGGGATGGCCATGCTGCAATCCCTTCTCCTTCATTCTCCTCTCGGGATCTTGGGCACACCTGCACACGTGCCTGGCGTGAGTTTAAGCCACCGGGTCCGGGACTCAAACCATAGTCAACTACATGGGAGTCCAGCGACATAGTCAATTTGGGACTTGGTTGACTACGTGTTAGTCCAGTGATGTAACCAGTCCACCATCTGCTGGTCTATGTAAACTTTTTAAAGATGCAGGTTCAGTGTCACTTTTTCCAACCTATATCACCTTTTTCCCTTTTCATCTGTCTTAATTCTATTCATCCTTCAAGACCCAGTTCACAAACCACTTTCTCAGGAGGCTTCTCTTACAGTAATTGGTATTAAGCTTTTATACTTACTATCTGTGCCACTGATTAGGTACATAACCTACCTTCGCAGTATTAATTTTTTCTACTTCTATGGCCCTCTTACAAGATTGTAAGGTCTCTTAGAACAGAAATCATCTTCTATTTCTTTCCTTTGGGACTTTGCGTATTAGAGGTCTTGAAAAAATGAATTTTGATAACAATAAAATGACATTTTTAAGTAACGTTCTTTATGTTGTCAAGAATTTCCTCTTATTATCTCAGTGGGTTTTCATTCAAGTAAATGAAGTAGATGGCTTAGGAATTTTTCACTCTTTTTTTGATGGGTAGTTCATAGTTATTTCCATGAATGTGAAAAAAAAAAGGTATGAAGAAAGTAGTATAAATCTTCTTTTAAAAAATCAAGGAAAAGAACACACTGTTTAGTAGTAGAAGTATGTCCTAATACCATGGTATTGCATTCACAAATCTGAAGTAAACTTATTAATATTCATGCCCAGTTCTGAGAATTTATTTTTGTTTCTTTTGCAGTGCCATACAAATTACATTCCTGTCTGTGGATCAAATGGGGACACTTATCAAAACGAATGCTTCCTCAGAAGGGCTGCTTGTAAGCACCAGAAAGAGATAACAGTAGTAGCAAGAGGACCATGCTACTCTGGTATGTATGACATTCTTCTGAATAAATGTTAGAGATGGTCCTGCCATATTTCCAAGAGGAAATTTACAGCCAGAAATATAGTCCCCAAACTGCTGCATGGGTGGTGATTTTGTCAAGTGGGTAGTGGAGCTCTGTTTTGCTCCCATTTAATGGTGTTGCATTTTAAATCCCGGTAGTCTTGCGTTGACCATGTTACTTCTCACTCCATTTCTAAGGGCGTGAACCTTTTATGTGGGGACTTTGCATATCTGTTACCCTGTGGTATGAACATGCAGACAGATTGAGACTTGGGAAATGGAATGATAGGGGATCCATCTTGTGGTTGGCTTTATTTATTTATTTATTTATTTGGAAAGAGGTGAAGGATATCTGCAGAAAGTCATCAGAAGTAACCCAGGTTTTCTTTCTTTCCAAGCACTTCTCTTTTTTTCTCTGCCATTCTACCCCATTCAAGCTGTTTGTATTTACTTTATTCTTTTTCACTTCCTGAATTGCAGATTGGTTTTGGGAGGCATTAATGTTAGTTTCTTACCATCGTTTGTATTTGGGGGTAGGGAGGGATGTCAGTGAGGTATTATCATTCGAATCTGTATGGAGGTTAGTGATAGAGGTGGAGACTGCTCTTATGTGATCTCCATTTCTTTCTTCTCCTTATATAATGCAGTGTTAAAAAGTTCTCCCTTTTACTAAATACTAAGATTTTAAGACCAGCTGTAAAGTTTGGTGGCACAGACCTCAAGACAACCCTTATTTCTAACACTGACGTTGGGAGCTTTCCCAATTTACCCTCAGGTCAATAATTTGCTGGGAGGGTACACAGGACTCACTGAAAGCCATTATACTCATTGCTACAATTTAACACAAAGATATAAATGTTAAGCCAGCCAGAGGAAAGATGGATAGGGCAGATTCTTTTTATTTTGGAGAGGTTTTTGCTATAGGGTGCATGCGCTTGCCAGAAAGAAAGCAAGCAAGCAAGAAAGAAATCATCCCCTAGGGCAGATGGCCACATTGCCATCCCTTTTCCTCCATTCTCCTCTTGGGATCTTGGACACATATGTACACATGCCCAGCTTGAGTTAAAACCACCGGGTCTGGGACTCGAACCATGGTCGACTACGTGGGAGTCCAGCGACATAGCCATTATGTCAACTGCTGGTCTCAACCTAAGACAGATTCTGAGAGAAGAGTCCAAACATGGAATTTCTGTTGTTTTCCACTCTTGATGTGGATGGTGTTCACTCCTCCTGGCCACAAAGTTATGACAGTGTACATTGAATGTTGATAGCCAGGAAAGCTCAGCTGAACCTCGGTGCACCTTTTTTTTTTTTTTGGAGAGGTTTCTGTGATAGGGCGCGTGTGCTCGCCAGACAGAGAGAGAGACAGAAAGTGAGAAATCACCCCCCAGGGGGGATGGCCACGCCGCAATCCCTTCTCCTCCATTCTCCTCTCTGGATCTTGGGCACACACGCACATGTGCCCGGCGTGAGTTTTAAGCCACCGGGTCTGGGACAGGAACCGTGGTCGACTACATGGGAGTCCAGCGACATAGCCATTACACTAACTGCTGGTCCCGGTGCTTTTTAAAATTATAGCTCCATTATGTAAGTATGATTGCTCGATTGATTGTCCATGTGGTTTTATCCTAGACTGTAGGTCTAATAATACTGTGCGACCTAAAGCCTCCCACTTACCTTACATGGTTGGTCTTTAAAGTGCATCCAGTCTTTAGCTATCGGATATGTTTAGTACCACCCTACGTTCCGTTGTGGCCAGCACCCTCGCTTAACAAAGATATTTCTATCAAGTGTAACACAGATTGTCTTCTAGAAGCCAAGCGCTAAGGCCAGACCTCTTTTTAGACAAGGCCAAATTCTTTACTCTGTGTTTGGAGAAATTATTATGTTCCTAGGCTAATAATAGACTATCATTTGGCACGGTTCTTATCTATTTCTGTATGTATTTGTGTTTCATAGACCTGATCTAAACACTAAATAGGAATATGGAGCTTTTCCCAATAACATATGAAATGCTTTGATAGACAGTGGATGTTATAGGAGGCATGGTACTAGGTTGGAAAGAGCACTACATTAGGGTTAAAAGACCTGCCTTTAGGACAGGGTAGGTGTGATGGTTAAGGGTGCAGCAGGGTGGGTGTGATGGTTAAGACAGCTGAATCTCACATGACCAACTGCATGGGTCAAGCCCAGACCCATTGGCTTGAAAAACACACTGGGTACATGTGCTTGTATGCCTAAAATCTCAAAAGGAGGAAGAAATGGAGGGGAAGGGATTGCAGTGTGATCATCCTTCATGGTGGTCTTTCTCATTTTTCCTGTCTGTCTCTCTCTCTGTCTCCAGCGAGGACATGTGCCCTCTAACAAATTTCTCCCTCCCTCCCCCAAAAAATTAAAAAGAAAAAAAAAAAAAAGACCTGGCTTTAAACTAACTCCAACTCTTATTTACTGTATGACTTTGGACAAGTCACTTAGCCTTTCTAAGCCCTAGTTTCCTAAGTCATTAAATGGATATCATCTCTTGGGGTTGAAGATTCAGCTAAGTTATGAGGTTTTGTATTGATTTTGTTACTTTATGAGTGGACCAGTAGTTTTTTTTTTTTTTTTTATGTCACTTGATATTTTATTTCTTCTATAAGAGAAAAGAGATAGAGAAATAGCGAGAGGGTCTTTACTACACAATCCACTCTCAGTCTCAGCTGGCCTGGATCACAGTTACTCATGGGTGTCTAACATGCTCAGGAAGGTCCCTGTATGAGAACTCAGGACCTTTCCCTTGTGGGTCCATTGCATTACCACCGTGCCACTACTGGCCCATTGAAATTATTTTTTTATGCTGTAGGGTATATATTATTGTGCCTCCAAAGATCTTTAAGATTGGGCTTGAGCCTTCCCTTCTTTGTGAAATCTTTCTTCTGTGACAGTTCTTGGCAATTTGTTTATGCCTTGTGTGTATCTCTCTGCATATTCCATACTGTATCTCATTGATCTGACATATCTGCCTCCAGCCAGATCAGTGATTTCTCAGTAGGAAGGCAGTGTGTCCTACCTGGGGAGGTGTATCATAATCTCACAGTTAGTGTAGAATCTTGTGGGCTGGGAAGACATGTGTACAGTGTACAAAATATAATCTATAAGAGAACTCTACTTCATTATCAGAGTAGTCACAATATTTAATTTACTTAGGAATTATAAATGATATGAGGTATGAGATTTTTATGTTTATTAAAATTGGACATGGATTGAAGAAAAGGTTGGGAGTGAGTCAGTATCTTAAGCACTGGGAATGTGTCCGGTTTATCATCTTATTCAAGGCATTTACATGCTCTTGGCATGTAGTAGTTATCCAATCAATATATATGGAGAGACCAGCAGTTAGCCTAATGGCTATGTCGCTGGACTCCCATATAGTCAACCATGGTTTGATTCCCGGACCCGGTGACTTAAACTCACACTGTGCACGTGTGCGTGTGTGCCCAAGATCCTGAGAGGAGAATGGAGGAGAAGGGATTGCGGTGTGACCATCCCCCCTGGGGGGTATATATATATATAAATATGGAGTAGAAGATAGAAGGGAATGTTTGTGTAAGAAATGCCTAGTCATAAAAAACAATTTAAAATTGTTCCCTTCCTTCTGCCTTTTTTTCTGCCCCCTCACACTTTTCCCTCCTATTTATTCAGAGAAGATGTCATTTTTTTGGTTGATTAATTAAAATTGAGTACAATTTAAGATTTTCCATAAAATCCCATGAAGATGTTGCAATTGGTACTACAAATGATGCATATAATCTGAGAGAGCCTGAAGGGGAAGGAGCAATATTGTTCTGGGTGTTCTCTTCCACCCAAGAGAATTCTATGAAGAACTGGAATGGGTTCTCTAGGATCAGGGTGTCCTCTTCCCTGGAAAGTGCTGAGTAACTGTCATATTTTGCACTTGCCCTCTCTGCTTTATTTATGGCTTCAGGGCAATGATACCAGTTACCCTCTTTCAACATGTTCTATGCTACATGTTGGTTCTTTTACAATAATAAATTAATGTTTTCACAATAATTACATTTTAGGTTGGTGGCTTCGTGGTAACTAAGAGGAAGACTCTTTAATTTAACTATAACAAATTTAATCCTTTTGATTAGATTTCCTAGAGGGAGTTTCTTTCATCAGTAATGTGAAAACATCAACCCTTAGATTCTTTTCTTCCCAAACTTGGGACTTTTCTTACCTTTTAGCTTTTTGTTTTTATTCACAGGTTTCATTAAGCAGGTTTTGGGAACAAGACTCAGAGCTCTTTTCCTGCCTTTCTAATATAAGTAGTTTATTCATTATTCCTCTCAAGCTTTAACAGAATTAAAATTTTTTTCTATTATTTAAATGAGTGAATTAAGGTGAATTACTTATATTTAGCCATGTACTTTACAATATTTATTGGTCATTGTGCAAGGCACCTGGATATTTTCTGAATGGCTATAAAGGTGTATGAGATTGCGATAAGTATATGTCTTAAGTAATTTATATTTTGACAGAAGTATAAAATAGGTATAAGAAGAAACTGTTAGCTATCAAAAATATGAAAAAGGAGTATATAAGAATCGATATCAGTTTTATTTTTGATAAATGTTACCATTTGATAAGATAAATTTCCAGGAAAAATGTTCATATTCACTGTTTGCTTTTTTTCTCAGATAATGGCTCTGGGTCTGGAGAAGGAGGTAAGTTTCAAATAACTCTTAAAGGGCATTGGTTTTCTTCCACTTTTATTAAATAGTTTTGAAATATAATTCACATACTATATAATGTGCCCATTCAAAGTGTTCCATTCAGTGACTTTTAGCATATTCGCATAGTTGTGTGTTCATCACCACAATCAATTTTAAGCCATTTTTATTATGTCTTCCCAAAACCATCACCCCTAACTTGTCTGTCTCCTTTGTCCCTGGGCATTCTTTATTCATGTATTTTTCACTCAAGGGCTATTGTTAGACTAAGTGGACAATGTAGCCTTTGTTCAACTGAGATTGCATCCAAGTGACTTCTCTGTAGTATTATCCCACACAAGTGATTTTAGTTGGACTGGAGTATTTGTAATTCATTCTCACTCTTCACTTCCAAATTTTTGCTCATAAAGAATTTTAAAATACAGGATTCAAAAACTCCAAAGTGAGTTATACATAGAAAACGGAAAATTTGTGAAACAACTTTAGTGATATTTGGAGTTTAATTTAAACCTTTCAAATTTATCTATGGCTTTGATTTTATTTTACAAATATATGAATGAACTACTTCTGATATTTAAAAATATTGATGTTTGGTAAGCATATAATAGAGTTTAAATGATCAAAATTGAGAATGACTGTTTCATGGTCTAATAAGGAAATATATATATATATACACACATATATATATATAGCCATAGGGCATATGTGCTCATTGGAGAGAGACAGAGAGGGAAAATGAGGAATTATCCCCTAGGGGTGATGGCCACACCACAATCCCTTCTCATCCATTCCCCTCTTAGGATTGGGTATGCACACACACATGCCTGGAGTGTTTTTCAAACCAATGAGTCTGAGACTTGAACTGATGAGCCTGATACTTGAATTGAGAAGTAGGCCATGTAAGATCCAGTTCCTTAACTATCATGCCACCTGCTGGCTCAAGGTTGTAATTTTTATTGAGTATCTTCCACATGCAAAATAATGCTTGAGGTATTATGGAGATACACTAAAAGAATACTCACTCAGTTAAAATTCACACTTAATGTTAGTGAAAATTAAAATTATGAACCTTTCAATACTATCAGAAACCTTATTACAGACTTCTACATTTCATAGAATCTCAGAATTACATATTTAGAAGGGGCTTTTTTTTTTTTGGCGGGGAGAGATTTTCACTGTAGGGCACGTGCGCTCGCCAGACAGACAGAGAGAGACATAGAGACAGAAAGCGAGAAATCACCCCCCAGGGGGGATGGTCACGCCGCAATCCCTTCTCCTCCATTCTCCTCTCGGGATCTTGGGCACGCACGCACACGCGCCCGGCGTGAGTTTTAAGCCACCGGGTCCGGGACACGAACCGCTGTCGACTACGTGGGAGTCCAGCGACATAGCCATTACGCTAACTGCTGGTTCCCTAGAAGGGGCTTTTGAAGTCATCTACAGAATAGAAGATTGCCATGGGGGGGAAGTTTAGATGACAGCAGAAGCTAGAAAAAAATGATTAAAGTTGTAGAACAATAGAATTTGATTTAAATGGACATGTTTAGGCTGAAGCTTCATAATCATGAATGAAGGATCCAATCATAAGTTGTAGATTTTAGAGCTAAAAAGGATTTTAAGAGATCATGTGGTCTAGCCACTGCAGTCAGATACTCAGTTAGGAAACTCATTCTTCTGTTCTTACATTAAAGAAGTGAGAGGTCCAGCTGAGGTGATGCATGCTGATAAGACACTGTACTCCTTAGGTGGTGGGGGTATGCCTGTCGGTGGCATGGTGGTTAAGGTGACTGGATCCCAAGCCCCAGTCTCTGTGGTTTGAAAAAACACGCCACGCATGTGTACATGTGTGTTCAAAATCCTGAGAGGAGCATGGAGAAGGGATTGCAGCGTGGCCACCCTTCCTTGGGGGGTGATTTCTCATTTTCCCTCTCTCTGGTGAGCACATGCACTCTGTAGCAGACAGACAAACAAAAAGGATAGGAGATACTCTACTTGGCAGCACGTACGTGTGGGACCTTCCCTTAAGTGTGGGATGTGAGCTGAGTTGGGACTGGTTATTTTTTTTTTGTATGCTGGATCATGGAGTCCGACACACTTCTTCATCTGGATATTTTTGTCTATGCTAAGTTACCAATAAAAGGGGAAAGGTCCTCTATAAGGAGAAAGTTTTCTTTTTTAAAATTTAGACATAAATATTTCTTTTACTTTTGAATTAGTTTTTATGTACTTAAAAAGGTGGCAGGTATAGGAACCAGCAGATGGCATAATGGTTATGTTTTTGGACTCTCATGTAGTCAACTGCATTTCGAATCCTGGACCTAGCGGCTTTAAACTCATGCCAGGCACGTGTGCGTGTGTGCCCCAAATCCTGAAAGGACAAAGGAGGAGAGGGGATTGCGGTGTGATCACCCTCCCTGGGGGATGATTTCTCGCTTTCTGTCTCTCTTCATCTTTCTGGTGAGTGCACATGCCCTACATTAAAAAAATCTATCCAAAAAAAAAAATGTCAGGTGGAAAACTGATATGAGGAAAAGGCTTGTGTTCACACACTTAACAGTACTTACTTCATTACAAGGCTTATTTCAGTAGGAGGGAAATCACAGGATTAAATTTGTTGCTCATATTGTTTTTCTCTCTTTTTTTATGTCATATGGTAATTCTTTTGAAAATAGTTTGTTATCAATCCTATTGTTGTTCCTATCTGTATAGTTTAAGGAATTATTTTTCTAGCACCGATACTTGTTTTTCATCACAGAATATGTTGTATTCAGTATTGGGAACATTTTTGGACTCAAGCATTGATACATTTTGGAAGTGACTATTTTCAAGAGTTCAGGTACATTTTCCCTGGAAATAGGATAATGGTTATGGAAAACATCAAGTTTATGTGGAAAGAAGCCCAACTTTTGGTTGAAAATGTACTTTTTCTCTTTTAAACAGAAGAAGAAGGATCAGGGGCTGAAGTTCACAGAAAACATTCCAAGTGTGGACCTTGCAAATACAAAGCTGAGTGTGATGAAGATGCGGAAAATGTTGGGTGAGTTTATTGAGAAGCAGGGATAAACTTATTTAGAGGTTAATCATTGGCATGAATATATCGTAGTGAGGTATCACTTACCTCATTCTGTATTTTATATATTTTTTGGTTTAATGCTTAGCGTATTGACTTTTCTCATAAGTTGACATAACTCTCTGGCTATTTCAGTCAGCTTAAGTGTTATGTTGAGAGTCTACTTATATCCATTTACAGTTTGTTTTTTTCTTTGATTTTACCTATGCCTTTTTTTGGTCATTGATAGTTTAATATGTTTTACATATCAGGGGCTCATTTTATTCATCAAAACTGCTGTTATTCTGAATTATCCTATGATCACACTTTCAATTAGTATCTTTTAAAGAGCTTCTGTTTTTTTAACTTGCAGTTGAATACAAAATCTCTTTATGGGGGCCAGCAGGTGGTGTGGTGGTTAAGGCTTTGGAATTCCCACATACCCGACCACAGTTTGAGTCTCAGACCTGGTGGCTTTCTTTCTCTCTCTCTCTTTCTCTGGCAAAACTCATGTGAAAAATAATAATAAAAAGATAAACTTATTTAGAGGTTAATCATTGGCATGAATATATCGTAGTGAGGTATCACTTACCTCATTCTGTATTTTATATATTTTTTGGTTTAATGCTTAGCGTATTGACTTTTCTCATAAGTTGACATAACTCTCTGGCTATTTCAGTCAGCTTAAGTGTTATGTTGAGAGTCTACTTATATCCATTTACAGTTTGTTTTTTTCTTTGATTTTACCTATGCCTTTTTTTGGTCATTGATAGTTTAATATGTTTTACATATCAGGGGCTCATTTTATTCATCAAAACTGCTGTTATTCTGAATTATCCTATGATCACACTTTCAATTAGTATCTTTTAAAGAGCTTCTGTTTTTTTAACTTGCAGTTGAATACAAAATCTCTTTATGGGGGCCAGCAGGTGGTGTGGTGGTTAAGGCTTTGGAATTCCCACATACCCGACCACAGTTTGAGTCTCAGACCTGGTGGCTTTCTTTCTCTCTCTCTCTTTCTCTGGCAAAACTCATGTGAAAAATAATAATAAAAAATAAATAAAATAAATAATTCTTAAAAAAATCCCTTTGTGTTTCAGTATATTAAGACTTAAAACTGTTTCAAAATGTTAAAATAAATATTTTATGTAATTAAAAATTATGTCTAGAGTCCAGATTTTCAGATTGAGCATCCCTACTTTGAAAATCCGAAATCTGAAAAGCTCCAAAATCTGAAACGTTTTGAATTTTGAAATGACATCCTAAGTGGAAAATTTCATACCTGACCTCATATGATGGGTAACAGTCAAACTTCTGCAATACAAAAGTATTGTGTAGAATAACCTTCAGGCCATGTGTACAGGAAAAACAGATGAATTTCGTGTTTAGACATAGATTCCATTATGTATAGGCACATATTTCAGAATCTGAAAAAGACCTGAAACCCAAAATACTTCTTCTCAAGCATTTCAGATGAGGAATATTGAACCTGTATTATTTTCCTCACTAATGTTTGGCCTTCATTAAGGTGGTTTTGTAGCTGATGGCATGTCTGTCCAATTTTTTTTTAATTCACTCTCTGTAAGAACTGGTTTTCTTGATAGAATAGTAATGATAAAGGCATATATCAACACAGTGTGTTTGATTTTCTTTTTATTTCATCAGTATCCTGTTTGCTTATTCCTGGTCTTGTCCATCTTTCATTTTTCCTACATATTTGATTCTAATATCTTTAATGCGACTTCAGGATCTGGTGGCATAAATGAATCTTTTTCATTTTCTTGGTTCCCTCTTAATGCATGTTTTAAAATGCTGTTCCATAGAGATTTGTGCTTTTTTTCTTACTCTACATATTTTTGGCTTGTATTTCTTTGTTCCATGTTTTTATTTAACCTGAGGGTTAAATAAATGCATATTTCAGCCTTTCTCTGAACAGTAGTAATGTATCTAATTAGCACTAATGCCCAAAGTGAGTTTTCCAAATCAGGAGCACTCCATTTTTGGTATTCTGGTACTAAATCAATTATTTGGATGGCATTTGGTAAAATCAGACATCTGTTAGTTTACTTGGTGCACATTTCAGAGTAGATATGAATTGTCAAAAGACAAGCTTAAGTTCAGTAAAAAGTAAATTTAGCAAAACCTGAATCCATTATTTTTTGGCACACTGGTTACATGAGTTACCTGTATCTGTTCATTTCAACCAGAGTAGTTTGATTTGGGAGAACATGTTTTCCAAAGCAGGTACTGGTCCATGCCATGAGAAATAATGAGTAATATAAACTTATAGAGAGAACAAATAATGGATATTCTGCTCTCTCCCCCTTTCATTTAAAAAATTCTTTTGAGAGGTTCTTACTATAGGGCACGTGCACTTCCCAGAAAGACAGAGAGACCGAAAGCAAGAAAACACCCCCCCCCAGGGGGGATGACCATGCCACCATCCCTTCTCCTCTCTTCTCCTCTCAGGATCCTGGGCACGCTTGCACACGCGCCCAGCGTGAGTTCAAGCCACAGGGTCCGGGACATGAACCATGGTCGACTACAGTGGGAGTCCAGAGACATAGCTATTATGCTAACTGCTGGTCCCTCTTCCTCTCATTTTGTACTAATGTTATGGTAAGACAAAACAACTTTGTGTTGTGTGTGTTTGTAGATATTTAGTTCTTTTCAGTATTTTTCCTTAGGGCTGTTCTGTAAAAGTGTTTAGAGTCAAATAGTTGTCAGCGGTTGATTGGCTTGGTTCAGTGGTCTGTTTTTATTCCTTTGACAGTACCTCTATTCAGTCATATTTTATACTTTTCTCTACAATCATGTTTCATGCCTAAGTGGAAGAGATACAGATCTTTTGCTTAGATGTGAAATAAATTTCATCTAGTCTTAGAGGCAGCTTGAAATATGACTTGTGTTTGGTAAAATGCACATCTTTATGTGAATGCCTACTCCTTACACTATACTATGAAGTCTGTTCCCAAAGCAACTCTGTTATATGTATAAGTTAATATTGTGTGTATCTGTCTGAGAGCTTGTAACCACTATTATAGATAGAAGGTCTAAGCATAGGCAGGAAGCACACACCAGGTAAACTTACCCCAATAGTAAGGCACAGGAAGGGTCTCACCAGAGGCTAAGGAGCACTTAGACTAGCACAAGCAGCCAAGATCAGACATGGAAACTGATGCCTTACAGGAAAACATTAAAGAAGCAATTGATGCTTTTATCTAACAAGTAAGTAATTAAGCCAAAGTGATTGATCTCACCGTGGAAAGAGACAAAAGAAATGTTAGGAGCATCTAATCTTTTAGTCTATAAAACACTTATTACTGATTATAGTTGTTTTAAAAATATAAATGTATTGGGAACCAGCAGTTAGCATAATGGCTATGTTGCTGGATTCCCATGTAGTCGACCGCGGTTTGTGTCCCGGACCTGGTGGCTTAGAACTCATGCCGTGCGCGTGCGCATGTGTGCGTGCCCAAGATCCCGAGAGGAGAATGGAGGAGAAGGGATTGCAGCGTGGCCATCCTCCCTGGGGGGTGATTTCTCGCTTTCTGTCTCTCAGTCTCTCTCTGTCTGGCGAGCAAATGTGCCGTATAGCAAAAACCTCTCGGAAAAAAAAAAAAAAAGGTGCAGGATGCAGTGTCCATGTTTTTTCCCTGGATGTAAAAATATCAGTTTACCCAGAAAAGCATATAGTTGTGCAGAGTCACAAACAACATTGATAAGCTGTTTAATCCACCTTCTGGACTTTTTTTTCATTTTTAGTGCTATTTTCTGCTTTGACATGATTCTTAGTATTGTAGTCTCATGACTCTGTCCTTCAGAAAGTGCAATGAAATCTTTTCCCTTGTTTAAACAGAGTAATACTGTATACATTTTTAAAAAAATTATTTTTATTTAACTTTATTGTTATTACTATTATTATTTTTCAGTTTGATCAGAGAGAGAGAGAGAGAGAAAGTGAGAGAGCAAGCCGCCAGGTCCAGGACTTGAACTACGGTCAGCCATGTGGGAATCCAGTGCCTTTAACCATCACGCCACCTGCTGGTCCCACTACTGTATACATTTATGTTCTCAAATATATCATTCTTTCTGGAAAGTTCATATACTTTAAAAAAATAAAGAATCAAAGGAGTACATTCTCTACCATTTTCTTCTCTTCTACTCTTTCCTCCTAATGAGGGACAACAGTGATTTTATTTAGGATTGCCTTATTCTGGATTTATAAGATATTAGACTTCTAAAATTATTAAAGTTTAACCAATTTCTATTAGGGACCGTTATATAATTTTATGGTATATTTCTTCTTATAATAGGAAATGACAGTAAAATTTATTTTATCAAAAGTGTAATCTGGAGCCAGCAGATGGCATGGGGTTAAGGTGCTGGATTTCCCTATGGCTGACAGTGGTTCGAGTCCTGAACCAGTGGCTTGAAAATCATGCACCCTATAGCAAAAACTTCTCAAAAAAAAGTATAATCTGGGTGTTAGCGGTGACACTTTTGTTTGAAGGTGAACAAAATCATCAGAAATGCCACTTTTTTCCTTAGCTTTATGACAGTTATCCGCGAAGGTTTCTTTTTACAGATTTAAAATATATATATAACTTTATTTATTTATTTATATTTTACCAGAGAGGGACAGAGAAGGGAGAGATAGAGACAAAGTGAGAAAGCAAGCCCCCAGGTTCTGGACTCAAACTGGTCGGCCATGTGGGAGTCCAGTGCTCTTAACCACAACTCCACCTGCCGGCCCCTACAGATTTGTTTTAAATTAGTTAATTAGTTTTTGTTTTTTTTTGAAGTCTTGCTTAGGGATGCATATGCTTGGTAGAGAGAAACAGAGAGAGAGAGAGAAGGAAAGTCCGAAATCACCCCTGGGGCAATGCCATGCTGCAATCCCTTCCCCTTCATTTCTCCATCCTATGGGGATTTGGGGCAAGTACACACATGTGCCCATCTGGTATGTTTTTCACACCTCCAGCTTG